GTAAAATCAAATGAATATTTCTTGATTCAACTATACTTGGCGGTCACGGGCTGTCAAACAAATATTTGTTAATTCAACTTGTTACCTACTTGTTAATTCATAAAAATATCATGTTAATGTTATTGATGTATGTTTAATTCAAAAACATATATAATTGAATCAAAGAAAAACTGTCAATAAAACGGATTTAATTGTTTCAACTTTTTTTCAGTATATATTCATAGTATTTGTAAAATTTTGTATAATTCCCACGGTCCAATCTTTTTATCCTGACTACGCCACTGAACAGGATGCGCGTTTAAGGCAACACGTACTATACTGTGATTTGATACACCACGAATCTCTCGTTCGTTTTATTTGGAAAATTTGCAAAATGAACGCAATCCACAGGCGAGATGTTACACGGTCTTTCAACTCGCCGTACTTACCGGATTTACCGGACTTACCGGACTCTTCGTGATTTGTTTCCAAATAAGATCGCGAATATCTACACGTGCACCAAGATGATGTGTTTTGAAATGATGTTTTTGTAGAAGGTGAGGTGCAAGTTTTTCCAATGCTTATAATTTCAGTCAAATATCCTTTAAAACTCTCTTCTTTTTAAAGAATTTTCAAACATTTTAATATCCATAGAGAGAAATTATGTATTTAAAAATAAAGAAAAATGCAAGTATCGACACGTCAAATTAAAGATATTAATTTAAGACATTTTTTTGTTAATAATAATTACATTTGACTTAATCCCTTCAAAATTGCTACAGACGATAGATTCATATCGCCTGTCGATTGGATATGCGCTCGAATTAATCGGCATCACTCGCCAGCCGACCGTTCGACAAGATTTCGAGTTAGGTGCAAAGCTACTAAAGTATAATACGATCTGTATGTCTCACATCTTGTCGCGCGTGAGCCGATTGGCCGTTGCACAGCACGTGTAATTCGACATCAGCTAATCTTAATTCAGCATGCGCGATGTCACCAAATGAGATTCCGTCGGCAAAACCGCGCGGACATTCACAAAAGTGGGAGTCAAGTGTACCGCTGAAATCCTGGGAATTCTGGGATTTCTGCTTTTAATTCCGCGACGAAGAGGACTGGCTTTGTACACGAGATATGAATTCATTATTCGATGAACAATTTTAAGAAATAATTCATAGAATTCAGTGGAAAAAGCACTTTGTTCGTCATAAGAATATAACAGTGAAATAATTAGGAATTAGAATTATTTAAATATCATTTAAGCCATCTAATTCTCGCAATTATTTTTTTATTTGCAGCCAAAAATAATGCTGTAATGATTTTAGATTAATTGCAATAAATAAAAGCATTTCGTATGCGGCTTAATCTGTATCTTTTACGAGCTCTATGTAATACGTATCTGATATGCGTTGCGAATTTTAAAGCAAATTCAGAATAATTGATTCAACGGTACTAGACGCACCTGTTTTCTGTTTCCGTCTGCAAAAAACCCCTTACTCGCAAATCGGTTTCAGATGTACCGCACGGTCACTGAACTCGTCCTGCATTGTCTCTAAACCAACCGCGTGTGTAATTTTAAACCGAACTATCAATTATTTATAGTACATTTTAACTTAAAAAGAAAAAAGAAAAGAGACATTTCTTTTATTTACCCTTAATTTCCTTGAAGCACAATTTTTTTTGCACGTGGAAAAATCTTTGCGCTATACATATAATTTATTTACTTACTGTTAATTCAATGGTTAGCTATTATGACGAAAATATCAATTTGTTAAAAATTTATTGGCAAGAATCACGAATAAACTTTCATGTAGTATAACGATCTGTCAAGTTTATAAGTGACGGCTCAGTTGGCGTGTCGAAAGTTGAAGGATTCTAATGGAATCGTGGAAGAAATCCTCAAAGGATTAGAATAATATTTATCGTCGCATCCGACGTTAAGCGGCTTATCGATTATCACGCTTGTATTCCGGTATTGCCGTGAGATACATTATACACGTATCGTGCGGATCCGTGTTGTTTCATGAATCAACCTCGAATCGCACCGCTTTCCAAGTCACGCATATCGTATTTCCGAGCGTGACCAGACGGATCAAAAAGTAGTTTGTGTCTGACAGAAGGTAGGCGTATCGCGGTTGGTATCGTAAAATTCGTACATCATTCCCTCCGGAATATTTTTATGCACCGCGGCCTCTTCTTTCTCCGAGAGCATCAAAATCAATCTCCGCAGCACATTCGTGACGCGCTATTCTCTGGACTCGTATACCTAGATTACGAAACGTTGCGAGCTCTGGAATCGCAATCATCGAATTAATTCGCGAATGCAAATATGAAGGCTTTACAAGCAATTCTTTAATTCATGATAGTTACTGAATCACACATGTTATTCGATAATTTTTATTTCATATAGACGCAATAAATAAATGTATACGGAAAGAATGATTTTGTTGAAAGGTCTAAAAATTTTGCTAAAAACAGATTTGAAAATGATTTTTTATTGAATCATCAAAATAATTTGTTGGAATGTTAAAACTGATAAGTATTGCTATAAAACGTTTTGATATTCTAGCAATTATTTTGACTTTCACACAAAATTATTTTGATCATTGAACAAAAATTATTTTCAGATCTGGATTCAGCAAAATTGTTCTTTCCGTGTATGATTTTAATTTATTACTATTCAACAAAAATAACTTTTTCGAACACAGAGACGAAGGTAATAATTGTTTACTGTAGTTTTTTACATGCTGAATTTCCGTTTACTAAATTGCTTTTTCACAACCACAATTTGGTAAGTGGAATTCAATGTTCAAAAATTTACGGAAAATAATTATCCTTTGGTCTTGTATATTTTTTAAAAATAGTGTTATTAATATAATGGAAGGGTTATAAAGTTTTATCGATATAATGAAAGGCAAAAATTAGGTTCTAATTAATACCTAAAGATGTTCGATAATTGCATATTATAAAAGTTTCTATTGTAAAATATCAGATCTTATCTATTCTTGGAACAGCTGAGCAAACGGTTTTCGATTTATGCAAAGGTGCCGGATCCATCCACGAATAATGACGCGAGTTTGACGTAACTCCCTACACGACCGCGCGTGTGACTTCTTAATATTAATATTATGTCAGTCATACCCGTCCGAGCGGGTACGGCTGGTCACAGGTGACGATAACTCTTCGGGGATGATCAAGGAGTCCGTAAGAGTCCAATGGTGGTGGCCGTCGCCGTCATGTCTGGAATAGTAAAACACGCTCATAGTCGGATTTGTCTTGATACGTCAGTCTCCCTTCAACTACGCTCCGTCATCTTCAGCTGCACAAGCAGACGCGGTATTATCCGATCCCTACACAGACGACATGATCACATTGCGTGCCCCAGCCGCTATTCACATTTTATGTTTGTGACGAATGCTACGGCGCATCCCTCAGTCATAACTTCCCGAAGTACCAACCCGGCTTCCTCGAATTTTTCGTATGCAAACGTTTCTGCCGACGCGATCGTTATTTTGGGTTGAACTTGAATTTCGCCATAATCCTACATTTTATGTTGCTGGCAATTTTTTAACTTTTACTGATTGTAATTCTTGTAACCATATTTATCAAGCTTTTAATTTTATCGCTAGTCTGAAAACTTTCCGAGAAGGGATATTATCTTAGAGGAAAATGGCAAGCAAACAAATCCTTCGATTCTCAGATCGCGTATATTTTTAGACCGATTGAAAATGCATGAAGCTACCCGCGAGTCTGTTTGTCTGGCACGCTAGATTCCTCTATCACGTCTTGATCGGGGTGACTCAGTAATTCACGTAGCGAAAGAGGGAAAGTAAGGGGCCATCGGCCCTCCGCGACGTTCGTCAACCATCACCCATTCACATTCCCGCCGTTTCCCAAGCGAATTCATTATAGACACTTTGTTTCAATCATGAGCCAACCCGATTCTTTCTGATTCGAGATTTATAAAGCGCTCAATGTCCTCGCCATTGATTGACCACGGTCATTCAAAAAAGACAGGATGAATGAATTAAATAGAGCGGCTTGATAAGAAGAAATTGGTAACTGATGAACTCTACAAATAAATCAGTGTGAAGCTAAATTTAACTTCGCAATTCTTTTCCCTCTAATTTAGGAAGTCTTAAATTGTTATAAACATTAATGAATTTGTCAAGATAAACATTTCATATACAATCAGATATGATATTATATTTTCTCTTTTTGGATTTAACGGTTATCCAGAATTTTTTTTTTTTTTTTTTAAGATACGTATGCGTATCCACCGATAATTCCATGTCATTTACATGCGCAGTACAGCTTGATCGACAGATCATCGCGACGGTTCTCCATATCGATCCGATCCCGCGAAACCAGATTGTCATCGGCGCGGATCACAATTAATTCACGTGCCACATCGGTCATGACGATCACGTAGCGCTCGACGGTGCGTGCGTTTGCTTTACCGTGATCCTAACCGTATAAGCGACCACTTGACGAAGACTGGTGGGGCATCCGTATCCCCTGTGTACCCACCAATGGATCCGACCCATTCCATACCCCCATATCAAGGTACCTACCCATCCCATCTTCCTACGTATCCGTGTGCTTCGTGGTATAAAAGGCGACGGTAAGGACTACCAGCATCATGCAAAAAGTTGGTGCATCAAATAGATCGACAAGATCGGTGGAAGTGAACCGCTTAATTATCTGGATTTTCCATCGAAAATCACTTAATCGCGAATAGCCGATATTTCCTGGAAGATTTCTAAAAAGATACAAAAGTGATCAAATAAAGAAAGAATTGTCACAAAAAAAATCCGAAGAAGAATTAAGATCAAGATGCTCAGTTGCATTAGTTTTGTTCTAATTGCCATCGCGTCGGTGGCGGCGATGGCGGAGTCGAAGGTGATTCCGGCCGAGCCTAGTAAGTGTTGAAAATTAATACATTTCTAACTTGGAGCAATTACGTTTGAAGATTTTTAAAACCACATTATTTTGTATCTTATAGAAATTATCTTATAAATGTCAACTCTCTTTAAGTAAAAGAAATTAAATAATGTATTATATTTTTTGTAATCATCATCTTAAATTAAAAATTTGCATCATTTACAGTTTCCGTTACGCTCGATGCTTACGGCAAGCCTGTAATGTTCCTGAGGGAGAAAAGAACGGTCGTTCGCCCTTTTCCGCACAGAACGATGATGTTCACCGGTTACTACAGACCGATACGTCGCACGAGTAACGGCGGCCAGGCAACCGGTGTCTTCGCGCAAGGAAACGCCGTGAGCGGCGGAGCTTTCTTCGGCGGTGTGCACTCGCCGCATCTTAAAGGCGGCCCGGAACCAATCGAGGAACCGGAAGTGTCCAGCGCCGAGGCACAAGCGGCACCGGCGCCCGAAGAAGAGCAGGAACGCGAATATCATCATCATCGAAATGAGGTGCATCATCATGAGGAGGATCAGCATCACGAGCATCACCACCACGATGAGGAAGACCAGCTTCATTCCGACGAGCCGCATTATCATTACCATCATCAAGATTCTTTGACTCCTCAGGTTCAATAATTTCAAGAGATTTATAAAAATTATTTTTAAATAACGCACGACAGAATTCTAAAATAAAAATAATAATAGGCTTAGAGGGAATTAAATACAGTAAGTAGTAGTGTCATAATTTGCAGCGAGATCAATTTTAGATGTCTTACGCTTAAACTTATGAGATTAATTTACGCTCGTATCTTTTATACATTCACAAAATAGAATGTTATAAATATCGATTTGTAAATGCTCCTATAAAATACGACATTTATATTACTCCTACAGGATCATCACGAATTGGAGCAGAATCCGTTAACCACAGAGATTGCGCAACCGACGGAAAAGCCGTTCACTGAGGCGCCCATAACCCGACCGAAGATACATCATACTAAGAAAACGCATAAGACGCCCGTGACTGTCAACGCCGACGATGATGACGACGACGAAGACGAGGTGGATGAGGAAGACGACGAACCGGTTGTGCCATTCGTACCTTTTAAGGGCAACAGACGCCGTCAGAAATATCCCCATCTGAACAACTTCTTCCCTATGGTCTTCAGCTTCCCGAGACTAGCCACGCGCGCTGGATCCTCCGGGTCTCTTCCTGGTGCCATCACTGCTATTGCGAATAGTTACTCCACATCAAAAGGCGGAATCGCCAGCTCAGTAGCCACTGCCTACGGCGGATCTCCAACCGGGTAAATTATATTTTTCTTTCGATTTTCTTTTGATTCTCTTCATAAAGAAACATTACGCTGGAAAACGAATTATTGGTTAATTAATTAAGCAAAAGACTTTTAAATAATAAGAATTTTAAATAATTTACTTTAGATGTGTTGGATTAATTCAAACTTTACAGGGAGAAACTGTCTTCATTTAAATGCAAATCGCTATAAGAAATGAGAACAAATATGTATAAAATAATTAATGCATATAAACTAATGCATTTTTCATACATTTTTCATACATTTGCATACATAATGCATTATACAAATTAATGTATTTTATGTTATTTATGTATTTTTGTTAGAAAGAAACGACGCCCGCAACCGTATAAGGAATAATTCTTAAAGCAATCGATATTGGCGAGTTGGAAAACTGAATACACCTGGAAGATTTTAGGCTGAAGCTACAATTTTGTGGATATCTCGTACGTTATCTTTGTAATTACCCAGTTTTATATATCTTGTTAAATACTTCTCAAATCTCAGATATTTAAAGAAAAATAATCAAGTCACATACAGAAGAGTTTTCGACGAAAACGCGAAACTATAGTTTAAGAACAATATTAAATTTATTTTCGAGATTGTGCAATTTATTATGTAAGATATTTTGTTAAGTAGACTAACACAAATTTACAGTGTTTTAATATTTAGACAGAACTTTAAATTATTGCTATATGCTACTTTATAGTAAACTTCCAGACAGAATTGTAATTATTTGGTAAAGCGAGTTAAACAATTTTCCAATAAAAATAAATATTCTTTTGCATTCAACAGTCTACGTCTCTTTTGTGTAAATGTTAATTTTAATACAATAAAATGATATTATCCTTCCTATCCTTGCTATCCTTCCTATCTAAAAAAGACATGTTAAGTCGAACTCGAAATGTATCGTTGTTCTCGAAGTAATTGTTGACTCTTTTCCGCGACGCTGATTAGTTCTCTCGCTGCACTAACTTCGTTTGCGGCTGTCATAGCATTGACTTTTAACCGTTGTATGTATTGAGTTGAATAATTTTAGTCAATTATAGTAAAAAGTAAATGTGCAGTTAAATATAGCGCGCGCAGAGCGCGCGTCTGTAGTGCTAGTAAATTAAAAACTTTGTACTTTCTGAATTTCTAAATATATTATATCCTATTGTGTAATATACGCATTTTATTTATGTAAAACTCAATACAATAGAAAACACGAATCATGCGGATGTATGATATAACGCCAAACATTAATACAAAACATATAATCCGAAGTTGAGACACATTGATAATTGACGTGCATTCTAAAAATCATTTGCGATTAATCATGCGCTATTTTTAATTTTATTCAAAAAACAGAGTGCATTATTAAGCATCTGTAATAAATTAATAACAAAAAACGCTAGTTACCATACATATATAACGGATGATTGCGGACGTGATGGCAAAGTATATGTAGTCAAACTACATACTTTGACATTTTCATCTAAAAGCCGCAAATTTATGTGTATAGCGGATTTAAAAATTGATATAGAGCTCTTTAATTTTAAAATTTCAGCGATTATAAAATAACATTCTCTTTTGTGATATTTATTATGTAGTAAAATAAATGATTCAAGTAAGAAATTTTAGTAACAAAGACCGAGATGATATCGATTTTATTTAAAAACGTTTTAAGTGCGACGATGAAACTATTGCATAATTTTCACGAAAATGAAAAATTAAATTTATTAATTTGCTGAATGCTTTAATAATAATATAAGTAAAAAAAGTTGCATCTCTGTTTTTGCAGAAAAATACTACTGGCAAACAACTGTTTGCACCTATCAAAAATATTACGTTTTGAAAAAATTAAGACAAAAGACTGTAAAATTATAGAGTCACCTTCTCGCATTTCTCGTATGAGATTGCAATCTCATCTTCAGAAGGAATAATAATAGACAAAAATAATATACGTTGCACATATATCACCTAATTCCACCGTCGAAAGTCCCAAATTTAAGCGTGATGTAACTTTGAAAACGATTATGTCTGAATATAAAAACGTGCGAATTTATTGTTCAAGTATGCTTCATCTTTCCAGTCTAAATAAATCGTTCGGATCAAAATTCTTCTGCGCAGTGATTCCTGTGCAATATAAATATGCAATATGTATAATATGAACGAGAAGTTTGTATTAATTATGAGGAATATCATGCTAATAATTTCGTTCTACATACAGAATGGAATAGTAATGAGGATTCCCCGTTCTCGTAAATAAGTTTTCAAAGAGTTTGCTAATTGGAAAATTGTTTGAAGTGATTTTGTATACAATTTATGTATCATCGGAATATTTTCTAATTTTATCTATACAGTAATATTTCATGGTATGCCTCTGACTTTACTCATGTTCAATACCTTCAAGGCTTCAGTTTAATACATATTAAAAATTCTGAGTAGAAGTCTCTTAAAAGTCTTTCGTAATCCACTGAAAACGAACATCTGTACTACTTCCAAGTTTATTCTAACTTTGTAAGAAGTGAAAGTTGAAGTAAATATTGTGTGTAGCATATAATTTGAATCATTTTCAATTAATTTAATTAACAAGGTCTTATCTTAAAACCAATTTTTGATTTAATTATAATACAAATATTCGAGGATTAAAATTGCATAGTTCAATAGATTTTCAATCGTAAAATAGCGTTATGCGTAAATAATAGAGAGTTAACAGAATACTTAGACGGGAATCCCGAAGTGTATTCGTTCATCGACCTAAGACTGAAGCCGCAAGAAAAATCAAGGCCACTAATTGACCGTTAATGTATATCTTAGGCAAGCAAGATTCACGGTTCTTTAAGCTAGCCGGCTATTCCGGTATCCGAGTAATTAATGTTGGACAATGAATGCCATGTAAAGGCGATTATATGCGTACGACGACAGTTTGAGAAATGGTGTTTTGAATACCTAGTTATGCAACGGTGGAATGTAAGAAGCTTAAAGGTGGAAAGGGTTAATAATTGAAAACGTGTTTTCACGTGTTTCACCTTCATATCCGGGATACTGAATTTTGTAATAGCAATTTCTCTTGTATTAATGTCATTCTTAAGAATTCATGTTATACATTTCATAAAGGTTTCGACAGTATTTTAATGTATTCTGTCAAGGACAAAATGTTTAACGATAACGCGAACAGCGTGTTGAACGTTAATTACGTACGCAAATTTGGCACTTATGTCTTCCTTCGTGGAAACCTTCGTCATTTCAATCGTTGAATTCTCTTCAATTGTATCCACAATTTCTCATTTGCTGTTCGTTTCCTTCACTTGACCCTGACGCAATTGATCGTTTTTTTAGGGCTCTGCTATTAAAAAACAATTCGCATGATTATCTTGATCAGCGGTTCCCAAATTTTTCAGCTTTATTTGATTTTAAAGATATTATTAAATATGTATTATTTAATAATATACTCCTATGAGCGATGCTAAATTATTAATTAGTTAAAAGTATTATTTTAGAAACTTTAATTACTTTGAATTTAATTACTTTTGAATAATTAATTGACAATTAGCTGAAGTTTAGAAAAATTTAGTTTTCTCAATGATGTAGTGATGTCAATAATTACTGTAAGCTTAATAATCTTAATTAATTAATATTGATTAATTAACTACTGCTGTAAAAAATCTTATTAGCGATCTACTTGCATTCTCTCAGGCTCCCCCCAAAATTTCACAGTTTGGGCACCAATGATGAAAACGATTTACCAAACGATACAGAGGATTGCTGGATCATCCGTTTGGACTTGTCACGAAATGACGTTCCACTGAGTGAGCAGGAAGTTATTCCAGGGACACAGCGCCAGCGGCCCCACAACGACAAAGAAGAGGCTCGTTCTGTTCGTGCTAATGATATGCGGCCGATTCTACACGACCGAAACTGCCCGTTTCGTAGCTGCGTAAACGCGCGTCGTTGGGATATCCCGAACATCATCGGGTTTCCTGTATATAAAGACTGCCTGACCGATTTTCTCATCATCATTCGGCACTGAATACCCTTAGCAACACGACTAGTATCGGTAGAATGTCAAGGAGCCTCCTATTCGTTGCGCTGCTCATTGCAGTTGCAGTTGCATTACCGGCGACTGCCCCGCAATTTCAAGGTAAAAACGAAAATGATATTTATGAAAGTGTTGTAAGAAATCAAATTTTAACTTATTATTTAGGAGATAAACAGAGATTTATTTTCAAAATGTAATATTGCATTTTAGATTAATTTTTTATGTCTCCTTATTTTTGATAGAGTGTCTAAGCTTCTAATTTGAGACAATTTTAATAAATAACAATTATGTTAATGCTGCATTAATTAAACAAAATAACCAGTTTATTAATTTTTTATGCGTTGATACTGTGACATTTCAAATGCCTCACAATTCGGATTATGCAAACACACTGTTCGTTGACAAAAATATATAGTGTTAAGAATTATATAAAATCTTTGTGATTGAAATTTCTGATATGTAATCTCTGAAATCTAATATATTAAATCGATAAACAAATTGCCATTAATAACTGTCTCCCTAGAATTTGACAGCGTAATTATTTTTAATGTCTGAATTAATTGAGCCAAAATCCAAATTCAAAATCTCTTATTCAGATCTTCAAAGGATAGTAAAATCAGCCGAGCCGGAACCTATTCGTCTTAAACGTAGTTATGGTGGATATGGCGGTGGTTTCGGCGGCGGATACGGTGGTGGTTTTCACGGTCATCACGGTTTTGGAGGCCACCGAGGATTCGGAGGATCACACTATCCCGGAGGATCACACTATCCTGGAGGTTCAATCTATCCCGGAGGATCGCATTATCCCGGAGGATTGCATTATCCCGGAGGATCGCACTATCCTGGAGGTTTTGGAGGAGGATGCAGAGGAGGATGTGGAGGAGGATCACACTTTCCTGGTTCCTTTGCCAACAGCGGAGCTAATGCCGGCTCAATAAGCACGCCATTCGGCAGCGGTTCCTTCGCGAGCTCGTATGCGAATTCTGAGTAAATATCACAAAACAGTTATCTTTAATAAATCAAGCTTGTCTTGAAAGATCTTAAAACATAAGAAAAATCTTGGATATAATCTTAATTATTAATTATAATTTTATATAATATTAACTGTGATATTGTGTGATAAAATATATAGTGTTATATATAAAATATATGATAACATAGCCATTATATGGTAAAGTAACTATTTATTATGATAAAATTGTTAGCACACAACTTACGATAATGTGTTTCGATTGCAGTAGTAAATACGGACGATGAAAGAAGCGACGACCACTATCATTGAAAATGGACTACGTAACTACGTAACATTAACTTAATTGTACTTGTGCACTTATTGTATGTACAAATACTCATATTTTCACGCAAAATAAATTTATTTACATGAAATATGAAAACTTGTTTATCTAATTTATCCCAAGATCTTTTAACACGTTGTTCTTTAATATATTATTATTTATCGATTTCGTAAACTGTAGTTAATGTGGTAAATTAATGTGTCATTACGTCTTGCAAATTTTAAATCTATATCATTAGACACCAATATTTTTCTGCGTTTACTTTGTCTTTGATTGAAGAATAATTTGATTTATTAATTAATTCAATCGGTCCAATATTCTTGATCGCAAATCATGTTTAATATTAAGAGCAGAAACGTGACAGCCATGGAAAATGATTGTCATTCTGTGCAAATTCGAGAACACCGCGTCAGACGTCATTGGCAATTCCCCTATTTATTCCTCTATTCATAATCCATTATATTCCGTTTGGGAAGTATTAATTTTCTATAATCGATTTTTAAACGACAATAAAGATACTGTTACTCCCATGCAGTAATATAAAATGAAATTATGTCTAATTGTGCAGAATAATCGCGTGAATCTGTGCACCCGCGTGACTTCATGCGCTTTCAATGTACAGAGATATGTTCGTTTATTCCTCACCGGATGTTTCCATCAAATGTTTTAGAAAACGTTGCACACGCAAGTGCCTTTGTTCGCACACGTTGCCTATAAAACGGCCTCGTCTATTAGATGATCTCATTAGAGTTTTACTTAGCTAAGCGAGAAAGTTCCACGAGCAATCACGAACACGAAAAATCAAAATGAAAGTCTTCGTAATTATATTTGCTGCCTTCGCGATTGGAGTAAGTTGCTAAAATTAAAATTCCCAAAAGTATATTTTTGACGTTATTTACGTCTTTGATTTGTCAATATCTGAAAATTAAATTGCATTACGCACTTGAACATTTTGTAATTTTGTTATAATGTATCGTAATTTTTTTTATAAATTTCACTTTCAGGCGCAATGTCGTTCGCTTTCGAACACGAAAGACATAGGTAGGATTTGCATGTTTCATGTTCACGTCATATTAAAGATTAAATATTTATATGTGCAACGATGATACGCGATATAATTATTATGCGAGCGATTTCTGTCTGTTGTAATTTATTTATTGATTAGAAAAAGAAAGCGCAGCTTACGTAGAAGCGCATCGAAGTGCGCGCGTACATCGGGATACGTCAAAGCAAGATGCACCGAATTGGATAGAGAGTATTGTATCGCGTAACTCTTTGAATTCAACAGGCGAGAGAATTCCCGTAAACACGCTGGAACAATTGAAAGAGCTAATTGCATCGTACGAAGACAATTTTGGAAAGCTCGTAAACTTTGCCATAAAAATGAGCAAAAACAAGGATAACAATGAACGAGAGGTCCGATAATACGTATACCATAGCGTAATTTAAACGATACGAATTAATTATGTTGCCAATTAATGCGCAATCTTGTTAGTTTAGCTGTTACGAGGACTGAATATAGACGTTGCATTTTAGATACAATTTCTAAAACAGCTAAGCTCGCTAGTCGAACAACTTGTCCAAGAGCAATCGAAGGTGAGAGATATGCACGCCGAACTTGACAACGATACAGACTCTACTTTGCAGGCATTAAGTAACAATCCGATGGTGAACGTTAATAATGTAAAAGATTTAATCGACACTATGAAGGAGATTGATATTGTCTATCAGGATGGGGAGATTACTGATGAGCACATTCGAATCAGTAAGTAACCGAGAATTTTGGTCAAAATACGTCAAGACACGTCAAACAATATTATTAGCATTAATGAAACTAAATATTTAAATAAAATAAAAGTTATGCAGAAATTAATACACTATAAATATGGAAAATTAAAAAAGTAGTTTAAATTAGCGTAAAATTAATTTCAGAACGAGCCGTTGACGGATACAAAAGAGCCGCAAGTTTAGAGGAACGGATGACTAATATGCTAATTGATATTCAACGTCAAGTGGTGCAAATTCGAAAATATTTAGACAAGTTATGCAAGTGAGAGAGTCGCAAAAACAATTATAAGAAATACAGACTGCGTCATTATCGTTGGCTAATTAATGATTAATTTCAACATTTCAGAAAACATCCAACGTCGATGTCCATTTTAGAAGTTAATCCCGATGATGACATTTTCCCCGTTGGTCAGACAAATAAAGTAGAGATTATGTAAAACAAACGCGCTAAAAAAATCAATATCATTATATATATCATTATATAAAATTCTGATATAATGTATAAATACCAACAATTAAATTTTAATATATTTTCTTTCTGTGCTTGAATATTATGAATAATCTAATTAATAACAGTATCTTAATAAATGCACTTTGTATTGCATTATATTGACTGTAGATAATTAATAAGCTAATAAAAGATATGAACAAAATGAATAAACATTTATAATAAAGTGCCTAAATAAAATATACATTGTCAATTTTGTTTAGTATCTAATTTTATTGTGACATTTCATTTTATTGATTTGTCTTGTTACTACGCGCAAAATGTTTACCTGTGAATATGTCACCTGTGATATATTCATTCGATCTGTTGCTAGATATCGTGTTAAAATGTTTTTCAGCTTTACCATTTGATACGTTTGGTCGATAAAGCGTAGTCGCCGCTGACGACGAAACCTTTGTCGCGACGAAGCCAGTTCTTTGTCATTAATTGGTAAGTTTTTTCCCGATTTAATCGAACCTGCCGGTCGTATTAAACGCATACGAAACGAACAAAAAGCAATGAATTTCAGTTAAATAGTATTCCATTATGTTTAAATATTCCAAACTTTCGCATGATGAAGAAAACAATGAAACAAGACTCACAAGACTTCCGTGCCTTCAATTGCACAGTGCACTTCGTTGACATAATTTTTTAATGATTGTATCTTTTTCGAATAATCAAAAGTGCAATGACAATTGATATTATCATTTATTTATCGCTACTGTACTTCTACACGGGAATCACATTTTTTATAATTTTATTAGTTAGCTTAATACAGTCAGTTAGTTTAATTAATGTTTAATTAATGTTCATTAATATTTTATTTGCAATTAATAATCTATAATATAATCAAAGATCGAAAAAATGTCTGAATAACGTAATATTATCTTAAATATAAATTGAATTATTACAATTTTATAAAATTTGAAAAATCAGTTATGTCGATAATTATCAGGATGGATTGCTTTGATCAATGTAAATTGAGGCTAAACTCATGTGCATGCTACGTCAATCGCAAGTTAGAAATTAGAGAAGTTAAATTGAGAATCCGTAGGCACGGGAACACACGTGTCGATCATTACTGCAGCGCGATCAAACTTGGATTACTATAGTTCTCGTTCTATATATCAGTTCGAATGTTTGTGAAAGTGCATTCATTGACAAATTATTCTATCAAATTTAGACATAATTAAACTATTACATTTATACAAAACAAAAATAGACAAAATAGGCAAGAATTAGATATAGAATATTTTATTATAACTGCTTTCAGCGAAATATTTTTATAAAAAACAGAAGATATATAAAATGATAAAAGAAAGAAATTCATATAATGAAGGTACTTTATTTAAGATTAATATCATGATTTCTCAAAATTGCAATTTCGTATGCTACAAATTGTCGTCTTGCGTTTGCGGGAGCGATTCGAGGCACGTCGTTAAGAATGATTACTCGAAGATAAGACATGCATTGTTCGAAATAATAATTCTGTTGAAGAACTTTATCTCTTATATTTCAAACGCTTTATTACTATTTGCATAAATAGATCTTACGTTTAAAAGTGATTATTTAGATAGAAGTTGGTTAAAAATGTATTGTTAAATTGTATTAAAGATTATTTTATTTTCATTTCTGGTCAAAATAATTGTGTGTATAAATAATATATATAATATATATATATATATATATATATATATATAATTTTATGTTTAATGACATACAAATCCTCAAAGTTATATTGCTTCTTTAACAGAAATACAAAGTTACGAGTTTCAGTAAAATTGTCCAAATAGATATGCACGAATAAAAGTTTGCTTCAAAGTTTTTTTTTATTTTTCGCTTAGTACTGCATGCGTTCAGATCATACAAATTGTAAATAACGTAAGAGTTGATTTGTTTCAGACACAAATTATAATGAGAGTTATATTCATTGCCTAATGGGAAAAGTTTTTACATTTCATCTCGCAAAACGATTGTGAGACATGAATTTTTGAAACATGTCTCAATGTAACAATAAATATTATTTAAATGTACAGAGTAATAAATAATATAATATTAAATATAATAACTTTTTTATTTAAGTTTTGCACTGTTTATGATGTGAAATGTAAGCAATCATTGTAAGCGCGTCATTGCGGCTTTCTATCATAAATCTCAGTTATTTTTCTTTCTATGCAAATTACACTCTCTTTCTCCGTGCACGCAGCTCAAGTTACGCGCGCATAAATGTACGATTTAAATTCATTGGAATATTACTTGTGCCACGAAAATGTTGATGAAGACGATAAGCCAACTAACGTTATAAGAAAATTACGCCAATGTGATCGTAAATAATAATAACTCAGTTGCACGAGAGAAGCAATCTTTTGACGAACTACGATTGGTTGTTTGCAATTTGCGGCTGTAAAAACAGTCACCGCACCCCCGCCCCGTGAATTATTTCTTATCGATTAATCGACTCGAATACCTATATCGGTCCGTGGTAACAGTTTCTATTTTCATACGTTTTTTCCTTGTTTCCATTAAGCAGATTTGCATTTTTATTGCAATCATAATTGCTCAATTTAAACATATACGTTCTTCTTCATAGGCTTTTATTTTCAAATCAGCTGTTTCTCTCACTACATTGTTTTCCATTTTTAACTCAATACATTATGTCTATGTTGCTTTTTTTTCTTTTTTTACAATCTCAAACATTGTGTCTCTTGCAATTTAATAAAATTATTATTATTTATATTATATATGCAACATTTAAACAGCAAAAATATTAATTATTATAAAGAATAGCCATTATTAAAAATGTTCTTAATTCTGCTGTAGAAACAGAGAGCTGAAATTGCCGAAATAATTTAAAATTGTCTTTAATAATGTGAACGACTTAAATTAAAATTTCAATGAATTCAGAAACTTTCAGTCAACAGAGATGTCTGAACAAAACGTCACGCCAACTGGAGGGGCAAAGCCGGGCGTCGGCGTCGGCGCCGACGCCGGGCGTCGGACAGGCATAAGCGTCCGTGCCGGCGCGACGCTCATGAAGAGCGTTTCCATATTCCTGACGAGCGGTCGCAAGGCGTCGGCGAACTCAAAACAGCAGATCTCCGCCGCTTCCGGCAAGAACGAATCGTCAAGAAGGAGACGTCGCAGAAAGATGCCGGAGGGTGCAAGGAACTCCGCGTACATCATCAAAGTGATCGAGTCTCTTAAAAAAAAGACGAGATTCTCCAGGCGAGTTCGCAACGACTCTCGAAATTAATTTGCAAATTAACTTCAGTACTTTAACATTCTTCTCAACAAGAAAAAACAAATGGAATTAAATATATATTTCACAAACAAAAGATTAAAAAATTTTAAAATAAAATTCTCCAATAAGAATTAAGAATTATTTTGTATAAATTATATTATTGTAAAATAATAATCCTATCATAAAATTGCCGTGTTACCTGCGTTGAAGCCTCTTTTCCCCAATGTTTAAAAATTCATATCTTCCAAAAAAATAAAGATATAGACTTCTTTCTGGGCTCATCTTAAAGATGAATTTTGTGACTATTTTTTAAGAAATCGTGATTTTATTTAAAAATGGCCGATTCAAAATGGCCGATTAAAATGTAATTTTTTGAAAATTTATTTTTTTTCAAAAATTGTTAAAATTCGTTTAATTAAAATGGGTGGTGGTGGTGGTTAATGGTGGGTGATGGTAATAGGTGGTGGTTGGTGGTTGCGGTGGGTGATGATGGGTGATGAGGTAAAAAAAATTTTTTATTTAAAAATCACATGATATAAAAAAATTAAAAAAAATTTTTCTTTTAAAAATCAAATGCTATAAAAAATTTTCAGAAAAAAATTTTTACAAATATTTACAAATAACAAGAAAAAAAAATGGTCGTGAAAAATAGGTGTC